TTTGCATTTTATGTTAAAATAAAGGTATGTTTTTATTATTATTTACTATTATTATTTTCAAAGGGCCAATGCCCAGATCCTGGTGCATTCTCTTTCTCTCGTCATGGTGGATGCATCACTAGGAACGATACAGTGCTTAGAAGAAATAGTGAGTATCTGCCTTGCCTGGGCTTGGATTGTATTTGTGAACCTAGATGCCTGTTATAATAAAATGGTAGTCACTGCAGGTACTGTCCTCTGCCTCTCCCTACTTGTTTAGTAGCATTTCTTTTCCAGATCTCAGCGTTTGTGCAGAAAGACGAAATAAAGCCTGCTGTGATCCAGCTGCTTTGGGAGCGATTCACGGAAAAATCTTCATGCTCAGCACTAGAACGACGTGCTGCTGTGGTGCTGCTAGGGATGATGGCACGGTGAGCCTGAGGCCAGGTCTGATCCTCTGAGGGAGAGGATGTAGAGAGAGTCGATTTTTATTGAAAATCTGTGGGTGCTGCATCAGCTGACTCTTTTGTTCCGTAGCTTCAAAAATAGTAACCATATCATGAGGTAGCGATGCCTAGAACTAAAGACGGTTGTGCTGGGTCCCACTGGCACAGTCTCTGAATGAGTATGATGACATTATTTTCCTTGTGTTCTGAATGTCCATCCCTTCTCAGAGTTTACTGTGTCAGAGCTCTGTAGTTTTGTCTGTGTTTGGATAAGAACTGAGAAGCTGCTGAGTAGAGATATCTGGAGCTTTTAGCATGAACAAAAATGAATCTGTTTCACTTTCTGGGGGCAAAAAGACTGCATCTGCGCTACGCGGTATTCATTTCCACAGTTTCTCAGCCCAGTATTCCTTTAGCATTCAACTTACCTGCTGATTTCTTCTCACTCTTCCTACTTCAGTCCCTCATCAATCAAAAATAGGCCTGCATAATGATGATTCTGAAGTTCTTTGACAGGCAGGAAGGGGAATGGGTGGGTGTAGGTTTTGGTTTGGGTTCTTTTTAATGATGTGATGTTTTGTTTCTCATGGTAGGGAAGGAAATAGCACGTCATCAGTCCTGAGAACCTGGACTCTTCTATTGTGCAACATTTTTTGCCTTACCATTATAAGTTTTGCACCTTTCTGATAAGAAAGAAGAGTCAAGAATCTTCTTTCTTTACAAAGAGGTTGTGCCCAGTGTTGATCACTTCGGAGAACCTCATCTCTTAGTGGAGTGTGGATTATATTGGCTTCTGTGGAATATTGCTGCTTCTATAGCTGTATCTTGAGTCATTGGATGGGCTTTATTTTTTTCCCTTTTATTCAAACCACTGCCTTCCACAAAGCACAAGGAGTATTTCTCTTGATTATCCATGCTTCTGTAAACTTTCAGCAGCAGCTCATGTAATACCCCCTCCCTTCCATTCCACAGAGGGAAGCCAGAGATCATAGGCAGCAACCTGGACATCTTGGTGACAGTAGGGCTGTCTGAGAAGGCCTGTGAAGACTATCAGCTGGCTCAGGAAGTGTGCAATGTTATCTCCAAACTTTCCAGTAACCCTAAGGTAAGACTTGTTCTTGAGGTCATCCAGAAACAAAGAAGGGAGGAAAATGGTTTGTATTGAGGAGAGAGAGAAGTAATTAAATTTTTACAGATTTTGAAATTCAGTAGGTTGAGACCATTCAGCAGCACTGTCTGGAAAGCTTAGCACACATCAGTGAACATGTAATGAAAGAATTTTCATTAGGCAACAGGCTGAATTCAATTAGTAAAGAGTTCAGTGCACAAGAAAATATGTTTTCCTTTCAATTCTCTTCTTCAGACTCCCAGTTCTAAACTGATTTATGTTTTCTCAACCGTGAAGCCCTTTCCTCTACTGATGTTTTCTGGTGTTGTGATTCTTTTGCCCTCCCTATTAATTGATACTCGGGAGTCGTCAGCTGTACAGCAGAATATAAAACATGAAAGGTTTTCAAACCTGCCCATGTTATACTTAGAACAACATGATGGTTGATGGCTCCTTTGCCTGAGAAACAATTGATAGTTTGGGGGGGTTTTTTATGCACTTGGGCCTGAGAAACAATTGATAGTTTGGGGGGTTTTTTTATGCACTTGGGAAAAAAAACTTGTCTTTTTGACTCAAGCATTTAGGGCGTTTTGGCTCAGGAGTCTATCATAAAACCAGCCTTCCTTCACACAGCACCATCATCCTGTGTTTGCCCCTTCCACTGGGGATGTTGTTGCAGGAACTTCATGAATTAATATGTATCACAACATTAAATATTTTGAAGATGGTTGTAATTCCATTTTAGGTTGACTTAATTCTGCAGTTAAGTTGGTATGTGAGAAGGGACTGATCTGAAGATACTTGACTGACTGTAGTAGCTATACACACACACACACAGCCAGAGGTACCTGTACGGAGGGCAGGATTGTAGTGAGTTGAGAGTTTTTCTTTCCAGCCACTGAAAGCTGGTAAATCCTCAAGTAAATCCTCTGGTTTGGTCAAGTACATCTTCATCAAGCAGACACAGATGTACTGGGACATCTTGGGTATTGTCAGTTGGTTTAGTAGTTCTCTAGGTTATATTATTCCCAACCTAAAATGTGGTAGGGCTGATACAGAGTATATGCAACAGTCTGAAGTGGTCTTGGATCCAGACCTATCCTCTCTTATTCCTAGTGATGGTATTTTGCTTTTAAACAACACCTTATGGTTCTGGAGTACCCCTAGGCAAGGGTGTCTAGCTGACTTACTGTTGATGACTCTAAAGATGCTCTAAACATTTTCCACTTCATTCATTGTGGAGAATGAGTAAATAATATCGGATTTTAAAAGAATCTGGTATTTCAAAAGAGCTACTTTGATTTAAGGTGAGATAGTGAAACTGTGTGGGTTGGCCTAGGATCATCATTTGGCCAAGCTTTAAATCCACCCAGTACTGCCACCATGCCTTCAAAACTCACAGTAATGTCTCTGCGACATGTTTAGTTGCAGAGCAGTACTGGATGTCCCTGCCACAGGACAATGCTAGCATGGGGTTGGTTAGCATTGTGCACACAGCTAGGTTAGGTACTGGGAAGGGCATGGGGGGAGGGATCTCGTGTGCTCTTCTTATGTGAGTTCTCATCTGTTCATCTGTTCTCTCTGCAGCCAGCACTGCAGGAGAACAGTGCACCTTTTCGACTGCCGCAGAACCACATGCTCTTTAGTTGCCTGAGCGAGACCGTGAGTAAAGGTGAGCTCAAGTTGGCAGTAGGTTTGGAGGAGATGAGGTTGGGCTGCGAGACAGCCTGTGCTGTTGCTGGTATGTGTTGTTGATGCTCCCTTTTCTCATCAGGCTTTGCCCAGCCAAGTAGTCACTGGATCCCCTTCATGGAGGCAGCAGTAATGCTCATCTACCAGCTAGCAGAAGGGGCAGAGGAGATATGTGCTCACATTCTGCATGTGTGCAGTCAGCAAGCTCTGGAGAAGCTGCAGGAGGCTGATGGGCAGGAAGCTGGTGAGGAAAAAACTGCTGAAGGAAATCTGTGCCTATGGTTTCCAGTGCTGCAGCTGGGTGGCTTAGAGTAACTGCTGGAGAATGAAGTGGACAGGCTAGTGGAGGTGTTGGCATGGAAGGTTGTGAGTGCTGTGAAGGAGTCTGTGGAACATGGAGATGGATTATACAGTGAGACTTGTTAGTAACTGATGTGGGCTGAGGTCTAGTTCAACACTGAACTGTAGTAATGTTTTCCTTTAGATCGAGGGGATTCTCCCAGCAGAGTCTCTGATGGTGCTGGCAGTCTCCCTGCATTTCTGCTGATGCACCTGGTGTCCCTTGTGGGACAGGTGGCACTGCAGCAGGTGGCGTATTTGGAAGTGTCAGTGAGTACAGAGCTACGCAGACGCCGAAGACTCAGAGAGGAGAAGACTCAGAGGCGTTCTGAGAGCAGGACAAAGAAGCAGAGAACCCAGGTGAGAACCAAGGGTTTTTTCCTATGGGCAGCTCTTCTGGTGTCTCAGCTACAGCAGACTTTTGGAGAATGCACTCCTGGGGGTGCACAAGGTCCAGGGTAATGTGTACCTTGGGAGTAGAAATGGGTATGTGTTGGTCAGGATTGACAGGGGGAGCTGAGGTCCTTGACTGACCCTATTCAGTAAAACTCTCACAGTAGTATTGGGTTTCAAAGAGGCAGAGGGGAGGAAGTGAAGGGTGATGTCCCAGCTATGCTTATCTTCGTCCTTCAGGCAAACATTTTCCTTTCACTCACTACCTCCTTTCTTAACCAGTGCAGTCTTTTGCAATTGCTGCTAGTGGTGAAGAACACCCATTGTGCCCCGAGTTTTGTAAAATGGTTTCTAGAACCCTGATCCAGAGATTTGAGAGTCCTATTCTCTCTTAGGTAGTAATGATAAAGGTTTAATAGTAGCCTTCTTAATGGGATCTATGATAAAAATGTCTGTTTGGTTAGGTCTACCTCAGAACGTTTTCCAGAGTGTAATGAGGCTGACTTTTTGGGGTAGGAATAAAGAAAAGTGTGCATCCCTAGGTATCCATCTTGTCTCTATTAGATGCCTACTCTGCTATGTCCAGAGAACTCTGTAGTTCAGTTCCTCGTTCACCTGCTTATCAGTGTGAATACCATTTTTCACACAGGAGAAGGTTATTATGAGATTTTCCAAGAAGCAGCAGTTGGATACAGATTTGGTCCTATTGCAACGCCCGTGTCTCTTCTCTTCCCTTGTGTTGCTTTTGCCTTGCTATAAAGTTTCATAATCTTGCTCACATGACCAGCAATTCAAAGGCCACTCTGAACTTCTTGCTTTTAGGATTTTTGTGTCCATTATGTTGTGCCAGACTTGTGCATTGATGCCAGTTGTGTCCTAGGTCTGTCTCAGCAGCTTCAGTAGCTTGAGGTTTCTTTTCGTCTCTTCTCTTCCCTTGTGTTGCTTTTGCCTTGCTATAAAGTTTCATAATCTTGCTCACATGACCAGCAATTCAAAGGCCACTCTGAACTTCTTGCTTTTAGGATTTTTGTGTCCATTATGTTGTGCCAGACTTGTGCATTGATGCCAGTTGTGTCCTAGGTCTGTCTCAGCAGCTTCAGTAGCTTGAGGTTTCTTTTCGTTCTGGGCTCCTTAGTACAAGAGGGACATGTCTGGAGTGGTTGTGCATTGATGCCAGTTGTGTCCTAGGTCTGTCTCAGCAGCTTCAGTAGCTTGAGGTTTCTTTTCGTTCTGGGCTCCTTAGTACAAGAGGGACATGGAGCTTCTGGAGTGGGTCCCATGGAGGGCAGCAAAGATGTTTAAGGGACTGGAGCATCTCTCTTACGAGGAAAGTCTGAAGGAGTTGGGCCTGTTCAGCCTCAAGAGGTGATGACTGAGACAGGACTTCATCAGTATGTATAGTTATCTGAAAGGAGGGTGTCAAGAGGATGGATCTAGGCTCTTCTTGGTGCTGCCAAGCAATAGAACAAGAGGCAATGGGCAGAAACTGATGCACAGTTTCACCTGAATATGAAGAACTGCTTTACTCTGTAGGTGACCAAGCACTGGAACAGATTGCCTAGAGGTCATGGAGTCTCCCTCATTGGAGATATTCAAGAACCATCTGGATGTAATCCTGTGCCATGTGCTCTAGGATGGCCCTGCTTGAGCAGGGAGCTTGGACCAGATGACCCACTGTGGTCCCTTACAAACTCACTCATTCTGTCATTCTGTGATTGGTGTTCTGGCAAATCCTGGACTACCCTTCACAGCTTCATTCACTTCTCAGGGAAAAGTGGGTTATAAAACTCTCCATCAGTCTGTTAGTCTCAGCTCTGGTTGTACGGCTGGTAACGTGCATACACCTCACACCTGAAAGAAGGGAACTTTGTGAAGATAGGGGTTGCTATTTCCTGACATCTTTTTTTAGTCTTCTGCGCAAAACACAGAAAATGAGAGCACTATGGAGGAGGAGCTGGGCCTCGTGGGAGTCACAGCTGATGACACTGAGGCTGAGCTCATCCGAAGCATTTGTGAGACAGAACTCCTAGATGGTAAGTGTGGCTGCCACCGAGGAGCACTAGCTCTGTCTGCCTGTGTGAAAGAACAGGTACAGGGGCCAATAGATCCAGAAGGAGGAAGGCTGTTTCTTTCACAAGGAAACAATCATTTTTTGCCTGGTGTCAGTTTCCATGTAGGCTGTCTGTTTCTTTGCTCTGCCTCTCTGTGGGTGGTTTTTCAGTGGTGAAAGTGAGTCAACCTGTGTCTGTAGTTTGCAGGAGTTCTGGGATAAATTGAGTAATTGTTTTTACATCAGGATGTACAAACAGTGTTCTCATATTTGCTGTCTTCCCCCCCCCAGGGAAGCACCTGTTCTCTGCCTTTGTTCCACTGCTGCTCAAGATCTGCAACAACCCTGGACTCTACAGTGATTCGGCACTGTCAGCTGCTGCAGCCCTAACTCTTGGCAAAGTCTGCATGATCAGGTACTGCTGAGCTGTGCCAGAGTTCTTTTCCCAGCCTTCCTAGTACTAAAGCACAAGCAAATGTTGCAACTCCTTTCCCACAGAGAGAACAAACACAGAAGAGCACTCATAGATTGTTTTTTTAACTTTTTTTTTTTTGCTCTCTGAGAGATGGGATTTTGGTATCTAAGCCTTCTTTCCTCTACCTTACCTTGCCAGCTCTGAGTTCTGTGATGCCCACTTGCGTCTGCTGTTCACTATGATGGAGAAGTCCCCTCTGCCTGGTGTAAGATCCAACCTCATTATTGCAGCAGGAGATCTGGCCACCCGCTTCCCCAACCTGGTAGAGCCTTGGACATTACATCTCTATGCCAGGTAGTGTTACGCTCATTGCTGGGACAGGACAGGTGATGAAAACTCTGTGGAAGGGTGACACTGGGCCTCCAGAAGGCAAGAATGACCCAGGAAACCAAATCTGAAGATGTCTGTGTAGGGAGACAACAGCCCTGGGCTGTGGAATAGGCTGTCATGAGTATCAGTAACTCAGAGACGCTCTCTCTGCTGCTTTCTGCAGTAACTGTGTGCTTCTGCCAGGTTGCGGGACCCCTGCCCAAGTGTGAGGCAGACAGCTGGACTGGTGATGACCCACCTCATCCTCAAAGACATGGTAAAGGTGAAGGGCCAAGTGAGTGAAATGGCAACTCTGCTCACAGACCCGGAGGAGGCGATTGTGGGAGTGGCTCAGAACTTCTTTGATGGACTCTCCAGCAAGGCAAGTGGATGCTTAGGGACCTTAGTTCACAGGAGCAGGGAAGGGCTGCTGGAGGCTGGATCAATGACATTAAGAGTTGAGTCTTAGAGAAGGTGTGTTAGTGGTGTCGACCAGCTGTTCATTCCTCTGTGTTGCGTAAATGAGGGTAGCTAAAGGAAATTATGCAATACAAGTTTTACTTCAGCCCTGCCTGATATTGCTGAATTTGATCTTGTCCATTCACATGGAAAGGAAAGTTCCAAACCAGTGCCTTGTTCCTTTCATTTCTTGTGTATGCCTAGCACAGGACTGGGAATGGTTTTCTACAGCCTATCTTTAGGCTTTCCAGCAGAGTTCCCTGACCTTATGGCTCAGGCAGTGCACCTTCTCTGAAATCTTCTCAAGTTGTACTTGGCTGTGTGACATTGAGATACTTAAATTGAAGAAGTTACAGCCCAAGCAGTAAGAACACTAGCAGTGTTACCCCCTGTACACCGTTCATTCAATGTGTAGCCTCATGCAGGCCCATCAGAGTTTGAGACTTACTGCCTTGAGAAGCTGCAATGACACTAGGGCTTTTCTGGCTTGGTTTGCTGTGTTAAAGCAGAGTATGACTCTGTTGACTTCCTTTCTCTGCAGGGTGCATGACAAAACCATGTAAAAGCTGTGGGAAAGGGAATCTGGATTGCAGCATTCCTGGCAAGATGGGAAGCAGTTCCTTGAGCTGAAATGCTGTTTCCTTTACCAGGAAGCTTTTTTTGGTTGGGTTATGACAAGGTTGGAAAGCAAAGAAACTGCATCCAAGTCTGCCAAAGAGCAGAGCTGGGTTGCAGTTGTTGTTATCTTGCTGGTTGGCTGTTTTTTTCCCCCCTTAGCTTCAGCCTAGTAGTCCTGGATAGTTTTGGCTGACTGTGTCCAGCTCATTTCAAAAAGCTGATGTATCCAGTCGGTGGATTTGGGATGGGGAGAAAAGAGATAATTTTAGGTGGGAAGCTTATTTGGCTTGACTCATGTTGTCCTTTATAATTCTGTATCTCATGTAGAAACTTGCATTCTGCACAGGGCAATGCCATCTATAACCTGCTTCCAGACATCATCAGTCATCTCTCGGATCCTAACTGCAACGTAGAGGAGGAATCCTTCCACACTATTATGAGGTATTCTGAGGTTAAATATCTTCTGACTAGGACTATGTTTACGCAAAGAGGGTGCCAGATCCAGGCACTACACTGATATATACAAAATGCTTTTTCAGTTGTTTTTGATCTGACTTTTTCAATCTATATTTGCAATGGAGTTGTGCTGAGGGGAATCTATTCTAAAGCTCATAGCTGTGGGTGAGGGAAAACTCCACAAAGAGTTACCACTAACTCATGAAACATTACTTTCCCTCTAGAAAAGGAAAATTGTTGGTTTTACGCATGGGAACGTGGATACACAACATTAGGAGAACACAACAGATTTTAAAGACTCTGCTGCCCTTGTCATTTTTGTGGCCTACTGGATTTTTATAGGCAACTTTAGTAAAGCTGTAATTATAGTAACAGGTTTGGGTTTGGGGTGGTTCTTTTGTGGTGCTGTTTGGTTTTTTCAAGAAAGGCTTACTCTGTAGTATAGAGGCATACTGGGATATTTCAGTCTGAGGGTATTGGTTGCTCATAATGTCGTTATTGGTAGAGTATAGAAATTTTCCTCTTATCTGAAACTTAACCACATGAGAGTTTTTCTGAGTTGCTTGAATCCCTATGGATTACAAAGGGGAGTGTTGGACAAAAGTATTGCTGTTGCTGAAGAGAAGAACAGTAAGATCTCCAGTCATTTTTTTCAACTAGTCTTTCTGTCTATGAGAATCCAGTGCATTTAGGAAGAGGGATGGAATTTTGGACAGGTAGGAATTGTAAGACACAGAAAAGGTCTATTAGTGAGGCTGAAATGGAGACTGAAAATCATTTGTGACTGCAAAAGTAGATGGATATTTTGCTTTGGCTCTCAGTAAGGAGGGTAATGGGAAATACTGGGAAATACAGCATGTGGCTGCTAACAGCACATGTAGCAGTAGTAGTTAATGGCAGAAGTGGAAGCAGACCATCACAGAGAGACAAGAGGCAGCATGTAGAATAAATCCAAATAATTTTGGAATTTTCAGTATCATGTATAGTAAATGTCAAGCTGGAAGTGTTACCACAGGCCTGGAGAGTAGGTGTAGGACTCACATTAAAGTGTGGTTAGTGTGGGTAAGAAAGCTACAAATGGGCTTTTCTGACTTCCAACAAGACACAGAGAACTGGAGTGGAGAAATGGCAGTATTGATTTAACAAAGTAGACAGGAATCAAATTAGTCTATAAAGATAACTGATGATCAGGTCTTCTTTAAAATTAATTAATACAACACCCTTTAAATGGGGTAAAAAGGGAAGAGTGGTTGAAACTGAACTATTTCCCCAAGTAGCACTATATGAAATGCTTACCTTGTGGAGAGGATCTGGTTTAACTTGGAAACCACAGTGGACAAAAGCACAGGCTAGGAATGGAGCAGTACCTTTATGCTCCAGGGATATTTGCCAAACTGGAGAATAGGGAGGTGTAAAAAAGATAGGGGTAGTGGGAGCACTATCACTGTTAAGGGACTAATTTGTGGAGGGTGAGAGAGTTACACTGAAGATGAAAGCTGGCAGAACAAAGCATAAGATTGAATGTTTAAAAATTGTTTAACCTGTCCTGTAAAGCTATGGCTAAAATTAGAGATGCATTCCACTTCCTGCTTTAGCAGTCAAGTTATTTCTGGTATAAGGAAGCGTTGGTGGTGCTGGTGAGACCTTACCTGGAGTGCTGCCACAGTTCTGGTCATTTAAGTTAAAGATGAATTGATGCTGGAACAAATGCAAAGGGAGGACTCTTGGGAATGCTGTTTCTGTTCTGTATCTTAGAACAGAAGCTTGGTGTGGTGGTTGTAGACATAACTAACACTGAACCAGGGTGTGCCTTAGAGCAGTTTTATCAAGGTCAGTGATAACCTGACTCAGCTTAAGTTAACAGAAATGCTGGTACAAGAAAAAAGGGAGGCCAGCAGGACCTTCTTAATAAATAGAAGTTATTCAGTGAATTCTAAGAGTACATAGTGCAAAATGCAGCAGTACTTAACTGTGTTAAAGTCCAGATCTCTCTGTTTCTCAAGAAGCCAAGAAAAAAAAATGAGATCAGGTTAGCATTTAAGTTCTCTTAGGCTTTGTTCCCATTTTAGTGCAAAGTAATGCTCACTTTTGCATTGATCCAAAATACAACAACATACTTTGAGCAAATTAATCATGAAAAAGTCACAAGAGTGATTTTGAACAGGGGGAAAAAAACAAACAGTGCATGCCCCAGGGCTCCTCTCAAGGTCTGTTTGCCAGATGTGCTGTTCTGCCAGCACAACTTGTGGTTCTGTGATACTGTCTGGAGGTGTTGCATGCTCTTAAACCTGGGTGGAAGGAAGGCATCACAAGTCAGCCCTGCCACCTTTTCAGTGTCCCTCCTACTAAAAATGGGGTTGTTAAGGAAAATCCCTGTCCGACCATCCAGGAGTCACTCTGGCAGTCTCACCGCACCTGAGCTGGCAGCAAAGCCCCTCGCAGCGACACACTCCACACTCACACAGTCACACCTAGTTGCCTTACTGGCTCGAGCCTAGGCTTCCCATTGCAGAGTCTCAGGCGAAGAGATCCTTAAAATAATTTAATCATGGTGCAAACTAAGTAACGGAGTAACAGCTCAATCTGGTACCTCTGAGGAGGGGCCCTGAACCCCTGGGCTTTTATACCTTTACAGTCTAAGGGCAGGAAGCTCTGGGGGTAGTCGGCTCCTGCTGTGTCTCACAGTGTCTGGTCACCTGGCTGGGCCACAGGTCCCCTTGCCTCTTGTTATGCAAAGGGTCAGCAGTTCACGGCCTCTTGCCTGGTGCTCCCGACACCCAGAGCTCAACCTGCAGCTTGCACTGCAGCTCCACACCAAGCTACCTGTGCCGAATGTATTCTTTAACAGGGTTTACTCTCTAGGCTCTCAACTTTGCCTTTTTTTTTTTCCCTTGCAGACATCTCTTCTCATATATTACAAAAGACAAACAGACAGAGAGCTTGGTGGAGAAACTTTGTCAGCGATTTCGGACTGCCAGGTGGGTTGTAATCTTAATTATTTTGACAAGCACACCTGCTTCTTAGGAATTGTTAGAAGAAACTAGCTTGTATGTCATGGTTGTAACAGGTTCCTATCATACTCAACATGTGACAAAGTGACAAGTGATGACATACCCTGGATTAGGTCCTTTCTGGTTTTTTACCCGTCTTCCTTCTAAAAATATATGAATAAATATGTATAAATTAAGGCTTTTCATCCTACTGTGCAGTGACTGGCTCCTCTTCCCTCCTTTCTTAAAGAAAAGGTTTTGCAACAGTTCAGATCTGCATTACAGCTGAGCAGAGAGACATCCCACGTGTGAGTTTTACATGCCTTTGTGGTCCTTCTCCACAGGCTATTCCCTTGCAGCTCAGCTAGGAAATCAGTGTGTTCAACTGAAAAGTTGGGATCTCTCGAGCAGTCCTGTCTAGGGTGATCTCAGCTATCAACTTGATATAGGCCTGCCCTTGTTCTGAGTGCATGGGCTGCTCAGTACTAACTCTACGCCTGGGACTTTGTTTTGGTTTTTTAGTTTTGGGGGTTTTTTATATGCTACCATATACTGAGGCTTTTGCTCTGCTCTGCCTGTAAGATGTGTATGCTTTGCTTATTGTGCTGATGACAGAGTATGCAGTGCAGGACACACCCCGTGAATCTGAGATACCATTCTGCTTTCTGGGTTTTGGGGGGGCTTTCTTCTTTTCCCCTGCTCTCCAAGCTGTAATTTCATCAACCCAGGCCTACACTTTGCTTTTTTCCTTTTTTTCTTCCCAGTAAGAAAGATAATAGAATTTTGTCTGCCTCCCTGTCACATGCTTTCAGTGATATCTTTATCTTTCCCTGACTTTGGTGCATCCTGCCTTCCCCCATTCTTGTGGTCTTCCTTCTCCATCATTGTGGCTTTGCCCTTGAGATTTAAGCTGTGTCTGCTTATCTTGGCCATTTGTACACAGTGACCTGCTCAGCTGCCTCAGGGAGTTGCATATTTCCCCAAAATATTTGGATGTAGTTTCCTGATCTGTAGTGGAGAGTGGTCCCTTTCTCCAGAGTTGCCTCCCAGGCACTGGTGAGCTCTTCACATTCATAAAGAACCATCTGTGTGTAAGCTGTGCCTAGCCTTTAATAAAGTGTCCAAATATTTCTGCACCACGAAGTTGATCAGCTTGATGCACACTAGTGGTAATGCTAGTGCAAGGTTCACTCGGGTTAAAACAGGAGCTTATCAGAAAAGATTTTGCAGCCCTCATCACCCTTCTCAGCATTTCTGGAGTTCTAAACATAGCAACTTGCCAGGTATCCCTCAGGCTTTAAAGACTGAAACACCTCGATACTGCAGCTTTGTTCTCCATCTGTCTGGGTTTGAGCAAAGCCTTCTGAGAGAGCATGTGCAGGACAGACTTCAGGTCCTCTGCTTTGTATGTATTAATAATAGGGTCTTCAGCCTAGCTTTTTTCCCCTCCCTTTTCATCACAGTGAGCTACATTAGGGATGTTAGTTTGTGCTTTTGTTTTTCTTTCCTGTTAGTTTTTTTTCCAGTAACTTTTGCTGGAATTTGAATGCAGTCCTTCCTTGATACAGCAGTTTGTTATTTGTTGACTTTCTGTCTTAATGAATACGACCTTCTTTATGTAACTGGCCTGTAATAGCTCAGCAAAGAGAGAGAACATCAAATGCAGCTTCTGTTTGAGATCATCTCAATCATGCAAAAGGGAGCAGCTGGGGGGGGTTTATTCTTTGGTTGAAATAAGGCCCTTCAAGAGGAGTCCTGACCTCACTGAGTTGTCTTTTCCTCCTAGCCAGCAATAACTTCTGAAACGTTTTAAAAAAAGTGACTGAGTTATTTAGCAGTGAAGCCTTCATATTTTTCTGACAGATACCAAGTTGGTGTCTCTGGAATACAGTGGTGGTTGTATGTGGTATGGTATGGTACCCCGTCACTGACCTGTAACAGAACAACCTGAATCTCGTTCTGCAGGGCAGAAGCACCTGCAGGAAGCACTTGCAGTTGAGTGAGATGTGCTCATCTTCACACACCCCTTTTTTGTAAGAGCTAATGGCAATCTTTGTCTTTCCTAGAACTGAATGTCAGTATCGGAATCTGTCCCACTGCCTTACTCTGCTTCCAGTCTCAGAACGGGGCCTTCACAAGCTGCAGGACAACTTTGACTGCTTTGCAGACAAGCTCCAATACCCAGCTGTCTACAGCTCTTTCCAAACTGTGCTGGCTCGATTCTGCAGAGCAGGCAGCAAACCTGAGACTAAAGTAAGGCTGGGGCACAAGGGATTGAAAAGCCCTGCAGTTCTCCATTTTAAGCAGGCTACTCCTCACCCCTAGCAGTTTATCAATTTATTTATTTAATTGATGGCAATTCTGCTCTGGATGTAATACTTCTCTCTCCTCATCTTCTCCCCCTCATCTTCTTTTTTTTTTTACCCCTGCCACTATTTTACATTTCCATCAGGCTCTGGCTGAGGAGCTGGCACAGAAGCTGTCTGCCTCCCATAACCGAGGGCTGGATGCAACAGAGACATGCCCGGAAGGTAGTCAAACTCCAATGCCAGAGCCAGCCAAGCGGAAACCACCAGGAAGTATGTTCCTTTTGTGAGACTGCAGCCTTCCCCTGGTCTTGCAGTCCAGCAGAGACACCTAGGGACTTTTCCTCACCCTTACAGACAGAGTGGCTGCTACCTTTCTCTTTTTCTCCCCACTTTTCCTTGACAGGTTCGCACCACCAACCCCTGAGCCCAGCCAACAGGGATGAAGATTTTGTCACGCCCCGGCCGCGTGGCCTCCGCAGCCAGAAGCGCGGCCGGAAGCGCCTTCCACGCAAAAAACCCACCATTACCTTCTCCAGTGACGAGGAGAACAGCTCTGGGGATGGTAAGGCATTGTACATGTGTGCTCCAAAGAGGAAAGGGGAGAAGGGCTATAGATTTTGCCCATCAGGGATATTCCTCTGGTAATGGGCAGGAGGATTATGGGGCTGCAGAGCACTGCAGGGGGGTTGCCTGTAGATTTCTGTGTTCAAGGCAATGGAGTGCTGGTTATTGACACATTTTACTCTCTTTAGAGCTATTGGCAGAATTAAGAGAGGAAGAAACTCCCACCAGAACAACTCCCATCACCAGATCTTCAGCCCGACGGCGGCGCTGAGGGAACCATCTGCCACTGTCTCTGACTAAAAATAAAACTCATTTTATGCAGCAGTCGCCTTCTTGTGTTGGAACTACCCCATAATATGACATTGCTTTAAATGAGGACAAAATGGAAGTTAACACAGGCTAAAGCAATTCCGATCCTGTCTTTTGATATCTCCACAAAGAAAGGTAGTGGTGATGAACATAGCTGCCCCGTGGACTGATTTTGCCAGGGCTTTGCAGATTGAGAGTAGACTGCTCTGATTTAACAATAAAAAGAAAATTGTTGGAAGAAAGTCTTTGTAAGAAGTGCCCAACTAATCACTGAGTTACAGAATGCTCATTCCCATTTCATTTTGTATGTGGTTATAATACACTATTCAGCTTCTAACGCAGGACCAATATGGTTTTGCTGGGTTTAGGCTCTTTTATGTCTGATCGTTTTTGAAACTCTTGCCCTGCAAAGCCCAGCAGGGCTTTGAGGGGAAGTTACCTGCATCTTTTTCTAGTACAGATCTCATCAAAGAGTTAAGGGATTGGGGGTAAGGAGAAAGAAAAAGGTTAGCTTAGATTAGAGCATTTCAATAAACAACATGCCAAGTAACTAAGCAAAATATAACTTTTAAAAGTTTAAAAAAAACCCAGCCAAAACCAACCCAACCCTAAAAACTTTAGAATTAACTTATAACAATTCTGGTTTGCTCAAGTTACTAAGTATACTGATAACATTGGTTGTCTCAATGTGCTCTTTGGAATGTATTTGATCCAAACACAATTATGTTTCAAATAATACTGGCACTTATGCTCTTTCCTCCTACGAATGCCACATCAGTGTTCAAGTCAGTCCTGGCACTCCTTGAACTGCCATGTGAACATGAAGTGCTCTAAGTTAGATTTTGTGTTAATCACATAAATAACCTTTAACCTCCTGTGTCAGAGGGAAGTTGGCATTTGTCCCAGAGCTGTTAGTACAGAGTTATTTCCTCTTACCTGTCAGCTGCCTGGAAAGCAGACTAGTCACTAGCTGGGCAGGACTGGGAAGGGTCTCCTCCTCTCTGCAGGTTCCTGCAGATCTTCTGCAGTCTCTGAGGATCTATCACATTCCTGCAGTCACAGGGGTCATCCTTGGTTCACCCAGCAAGTAGAGCACGCTGCTCACTTCCTCTCTGGCCTGGCTGCAGAAGTAGCAATAAAAGACTGCTGTAGATTATTTTGATCCCTATCAGAAAAAAATCATTAGAAATTGCATAGCTGTATGCAGACCTGGGAGTGTGGGGTTTTATGCCAATACCTGAATGGACATAAACATGGTAAGTGCTTGTAGAAACAAGTAGAGACAGTGGCACGCTGGGGTGACAGGTGTAGTTACTGGCATGGGCTGTGTGGACCAAACGCCATGTGAATCCCATGACTCAGTGAAAATATCTGCCCACTTGCCACCACTAGTGTAACAGCCAGATACCAATATAGATATTCTCTGACTCCAGATCATGCCAGCAGCAACGGAACAATCATGTGAAATACAAAGATCAGAAAGCTACAGCAATATTGTCCCTTTCTCCCCTCCTCCCTGATACAGTGTTCAGTGAAGGCTACTGGAGACAGAGGCAGCAGCTACAGCACGAGCAGTAAATATGACAGAGTCGTGCGTACTGTATGCAATTTCCTCACCACCCCCCTCAGGTTACATCACTCACATATGGGAATAGAAAAGGAAAAGGATAGCATAAATGGCTATCTACACAGGCTCAAGGCTTTACAAGCCTGTGCAATAAATCCGGCATATATGCGAGATAATGTGTTGAAAATACTGCAGTAGGGGAGATATGAATGGGTGGATAGAGGAAGCAAGGTGGCCATAAAACTTACACATTAGCTCACTTTTTCACTACAGCTGGTTAAACGTTCTCCTTCAGGAGAGCCGCACGGCCACCTTGCCGAGACGGAAGGAGCATTTGGCAGCCAGTGACTGGACTGACTGACAGTGGCTCCTTCACTGCTCTGCAGTCTGGGATTGGTTCTGTCCCAGGCACACCACTGCCCAGAGAAGTGAAAGTGGAAAGTTAGGGAGTGGGAGCTTTGGTTGGTCCCTTTCTGCAGCTTGTTTCAGGTGGAGCATCCCCCTCTCCTCACTGTCCTCTCCTGACATTGGAAGAATTAGCAGTCCTGTGTCATAGACAAAGTCCTGCAGAAAGATGAGGCAATACCCAAGAGGGGTTTGGACAGCTACACAGCGGCTACTGCCTTGAGTAGATGGTTGCTGCCCTTCTGTTCCTCACAAGCAGATATTTTGGTGGCTGCCACTATGAGTAGGAATCACTGCTGATGGAATAATTCAACTACCTTACTTCTGAGGCAGGAGAATTACTCACTGCCAAGACCAGTGGTGTTTCCACTCTCTGAGGGACTTCTGACCGTGGTTCCCCTTAGCTCCTACAAATGGTACTAGTAGAATAATGAATGTGATTATAATTCTTGCTTCTGCAGCAACCATGATCCCTTTCCATCACTGTGGGCCAAGGCATGTTCCCTCAGTGTACTTCACTCAGTTCCCAGGCCTCCCACTCTCCAGTTGCCCTGCTCCTTTTCTATAT